AGGGGAGGGGCAGCTCCCACCGCTGCTTGCACCACAGTCGGGCATGGGGGTGGGGGGGGTGGTATGTGCCACCCAGATTTGCACGGGTTGGGGCAAGCTGCAGCCAGGGTGTGCAGCCCTCTCCTCGGCAGGGGCTGGGCTTGGAGCAGGCACCGGTGGCACTGGGAGGATGCTGCATCCACCCCAGATTTCGCTGCCGCTCTGTTTCCAGAGCTGCTGCCACCAGCTGCCCAGTGCTGCTCTGGCTCAACAACCTGCTTCCACCCATGTGCCGGGAAGAGCTGGGGCTGTGCCAGGCAGCTGGTGGCAGCAGCACTGGGAGCGGCGACACAGTTGGGTGGATGCAGCATCCTCCCAGTGCTGCTGGCACCTGCTTTGAGCCCAGCCCCTGTCAAGAGGAGCCCTGCGCAGCCCTGGCTGCAGCCCACTCCACACAGATCTGGGGGCACCCCCTGCCCCACCCCCTGTGCCCTCCTGGGGTGCAAGCAATGGTGGGAGCCGAGCCCCCCCCCCCCACCTGGGCAGTGCCTGCCTCTGCCCCCCCTCTCACTGTGGGGGACATTGATCTGCTCCCCCCATGCGCTTCTCTTCCCCCTCTCCTTCCATCACACCAGACTTACCAGCTGGAGGCAGCAGTATCAGAAATCGGATCAGTATCATCTGATATGCTTCCTTAAATATTAGGTATCTGTACTGGCCCCCAAAATTTCTATTGGTGCACTCCTAGTAATTTGTAAGATTTCAGTTACATTCCTTCAGCTTTTGAGGAACAATTTTGAGCCTTATAAAATACAATTCAGTATCTGTTTAAAAAAAAAAAAAATTTAAAGACTAATTTTAGACTTTGATCTTCAAGCAGTTCATACCCTTGTGTCCCCATTATGTTATGGAACTGATACGTATTGTAATCTTTATTTTGTATTGTTATTTAAAGGTGGGTCTTCTGGAACAAGCAACAGTGGAAGGGCACGGTCAGACCCTACTCATCAGCATCGTCATAGTGGCGGACATTTCACAGCGGCAGTCCAAGCTATGGACTGTGAAACACATAGTCCCCAGGTACATTCTTGAAATGAGCATCTCCCTTTAAAAATAGTTGTTTAAATCACTAGCTTTTATTTTCTAAGGCAGTGGTTCCCAACCTTTTTTTGTTGTGACTTGCTGCTGGGAATGGAGTTGAGGCAGTGGTGGTGGCCCAGGGGCAGGGGAGCTCCTGGCATGGGATGCAGCTCATCTTTTGTGTGCAGTGCCGCTGGCATTGCCCCCGCGACCTTCGTTTGGGTCGCGACCCGAGGTTGGGCACCACTGTTCTAAGACAAGCAGTGGCCACCTTTTGGGGCAGCAGGCCGCATTAACACAGCTTGCAGGTGCAAAGAGATTATTCCTTTTTCATAGGATAGTTGCCAGTGCAGTGGTACTCAGCCTTCTGGCTCCATAGGCTGGCCTGACACTGTGAACTGGATCTGCCCATACACTCGTGCTGTCTAGGGCACTGCTATGCCACCTGGCCCATGGGTTTCCCTACGGATGCAGAAATTTGGCAGCAGGGGAGCAATAGTTAATACAGCCTCTGCTTTCCTGCCACCATATTTCCAGACCATGGAAAGACCCACTTCATGCATGTCACGGTTCTGTGGGCCCATGGGCTTGAGTTTGAGCACTACTGCACTCACTGTTTTCCCCCGTCCATATGAAAAACACGGGATCCATATAAAGGTTGACCTTTTAACATATCCCAGAGAGCTATTTTGAACTGCAGTGTGGTGAACTTCTGTAGAACATTTTTCTTTATTCCAATTTTAAATCAGTATTTACAGGTATCCTGCAAGGTTGAATGAATGCTTTGTAAAACTTTTGATATTCTTAGAGAAAAGCCAGTGTAGAAGTGCAAAGTATGAATAGTTTGAATTAAAAATACAAACTAATGCATTGGGGGCCACCCTTTTTGGCAGGTCTGCCATCGATTAGCCCTGCATTCCTTTTGAGTGCCACTCTGATCCCTTTCCCCTGCCTGATCTCTGCTTTCTGCTTCATACCGTATCTGTTATGGGGCTGCCTGCCTGTCTCCTCCTTGATTTGTTGCATGCCACAAACAGAAATTGCCCATGCCACTTGTGGCATGCGTGCCACAGGTTGGCTGCCCCTGAAATTATTGCTTGACTTACTGCTAGAAGAATAACACTGAAATTTAGTAGTTATTGACCATTGGTACCCATCACTGTAGGACAGTGGGAAAACAAGATTTTCTAATATCACCAAGGGGCGTCATTTGTGCTTCTGCCCAGGTGAGGGAAAATTACAATTAGTTTATACAGATTTACAATTCATTAGAGTAAAAAAAAATATTGAGTGACTAGTGTGCAGTAGCAGTAACTATTATCAAGCAGCATAGAATTGAAAAAGGTCTCTTGCTGTTTCAGGAGCATTAACTTACAAACTTTCATAAACTTATGAAGCACCATCTCACTAAGCTCTTGTGAGGATACTCACATTCCACATTAGAATCATGGGCATGCAAACAAGTTTCATGTAAGAGAGAATGGTAGGACTTTAGAACACATAAGCTGCTCTATGGGAATGGCCCATGTGCACACATTTTACTATATTAAGTGAAAGTTAATCTATGGTAACTCAGTCCTTTGGGGTTAAAAGCATGTGTATATATTGTTACTGGAGAACAGTCTGGATGCCATGAAGTAATGTGCCACTCTCCTTTGCCTGTTGGTAATTTGTTCATGTGCCCATGCCTTAAGAGTGCTTTTGTGCAGTATGCATTAATTTATTTTGGAAGTGGATTAACCTAAACTGCACAAAGTGATTTCTTGTTTGGAAAAAGTATGTCCATATGGGGCATATTAGTACAGAGTAGCCAGTGTATATGAAATTCATATTCTAGTTCTTATGCAGTAGCTTCCCTGTGTAGAAAAACCCTCATTTCTAGCTTTGTTCTGATAGAGCTCTCTTCCAGTGGTACTTCAGAACCAACTGCAAACTACAACTTGCTTTTTTGTTTAGCACTTCAGTTGTTCTTGAGGCCCCAGTCCATGTCCACAGCCCCACTGCACTAGGCACTGTACAACTATAAACTTACTAATTACTGCTCTTCACCAATGCTGTTTCTGAGTTTTTTAAAACTTTTTCTGTAAGGGCATGCAGTTGGTCTTTTGTTCCGTAACTGTCTCAGTGACAATATATTTAATTACTGTTCTAACATGTCTAAGGATATATTTAGGAAAGTATGTTAGAATATTTCCTAAATACATACCTAGTGTATATTTTTGTTGCTATGTAAAATTTAGCTTTATTTCTTTTCAAAAGTTAAGACTTAGTTTTAATGTCCTTTCTAAATTCAGTTGATTTGATCAGTCCTTTTATAGTCTACATTTACTACCATAGGTTCGACAGCAGTTTCCTCCTCCACTTGGTTGGACAGCCACTGAAGCTCCTACACAGGTCACTGTTGAAACCCATCCGGTTCAAGAAACCACCTTCCATGTAACCCCTCAACAACAGAATGCATTACATCATCATCATGGAAATAGCTCCCACCATCACCACCACCATCACCACCACCACCATCATCATGGACAACAAGCCTTGGGTAGCCGGACCCGGCCAAGGGTCTACAATTCTCCAACAAACAGCTCCTCCACCCAGGATTCTATGGAGGTGGGCCATAGTCACCACTCCATGACGTCCCTGTCTTCCTCAACTACTTCTTCCTCTACATCTTCCTCCTCTACTGGTAACCAAGGCAATCAAGCCTATCAGAACCGCCCAGTGGCTGCTAATACCTTGGACTTTGGACAAAATGGAGCTATGGACGTGAATTTAACAGTCTATTCTAATCCGCGCCAAGAGACTGGCATAGCTGGACATCCAACGTACCAGTTTTCTGCTAATACAGGTCCTACTCATTACATGACTGAAGGGCACCTTGCAATGAGGCAAGGAATTGATAGAGAAGAGTCTCCCATGACAGGAGTTTGTGTTCAGCAAAGTCCTGTGGCTAGCTCGTGACTAAACTGAAACTAAGTTTGTTTCTTGTGTGTTTTTATAGAAGTGGTGTTTTTCCAAAAACAAAGTGCAAAGCTGCTTGAATCAGAAGGAGATAAACTCACTGAACCGCTACAGGAGGGCAAAGCTGACTATTTTTTTAAACTTGAAAAGTTTGCAAAGGGACAATGAAGTTTTTTAAGAGCCATGTCCAAACCCACCTTTATGGATAGCTTAGAGGTGTCGTCTCACCTTTTGCTTCCCCCATTTTAACTTGCCACAACTTAGTCATAGTTATTTTTTGTCTCATTCAACAGGGGTTAATGTTCAAATGTTGGTCTTAGTTGCAAACTAGTTTCTTTTTAAAGGCACTGCACACGATTTACATAAAAGGGCCCTTTCAGATTTTAGGGGGTGGGAGAATAAGTATTATGTGTGTATGTGTGTGGATTTTTTTTTTTGGTTTTTGTTTTTTTAACTTCCCCAAACACACATGGGCACAGAATTGCAGTACTGTAAGGAAGAGGGACCTTCAAATTACACAAATATATAATCTTCAGCTGTAAAAAGGGACGGTTGTAATGGAGTTTGTAAGGCACATTAAGCATGCTAAATGGCGGTGATCAGAACTCTCCTTATCTGAATCTACTGAGGATCAAAGCAGCAATTATAATGGGATTCTGTGTGTCTCGTATTTAGAGACCACAGTCAGCTAGTATTGGAATATAACTGGTCTCAGAACTAAGGTGCACTGAGAAGCAATCAACGGGTCGGTCCTGGCCAGTCCTGGGGAGGTTTAAGTGGTGGTCTTTGGGATAACCTTTGGCCTTATGGATTTGGACTCTAAGTTAGAAGAGCCTACCATTTCAGATGCAATCACTTTTGGACATGCATTTGCAGACAGTCCTTAATGCTGAAAACACAGAGAATGGGTAATTCAAGAGGCCTTTCTTTTAAAATAGACTTTTGTGACCCACTTATTGTAAGGTATTGCAAGGTCACTTTGCGTGTGTCATAAAGTTGACTTCCTTATTGGTTGAAGGTCACAGAAGTAGTGGTTTGCGTTTGATGGAAATAGCTACAACTGTGTCCCTTCTTGCTTTTTACTTTTTTCTTTTGCTTTTTCTCGGCACGTGGTTTCTCCACCATTACTTCTGCACAAAGATGTCTTCTGTTCATCCTGAACATTTTTAAAAATGCAGAATTTTATGTGACTGCTTTTTTGCCTCACAATTATGCTGTGAATTTTACAAAAATTTATTTTCTTTTTTGATAATTTATTGTACCAAAGCTGTTTTTATAGCACATAGATGTCTGTAACCAATAATGTAGCAGTTCTGCACTTTGACACAAGGTGTAACTAGACCATTTTTAAATGTCAGTTGAAAATTATGGCTGTACTATTGCTTAAACAAAACTGGAACTGTTGTTGAATTCATAGCCAATACATTTACAGCAATCTCTGTGCTGAACATAATAGATTGACATCTAATTCAAGACTGTAACATCTGTTACATTATAAATACGTTCAGGCTTCTGAAGGTAAAAGGGACACTAGATACAGAAGCTATGAAACCAGCAATTGATTCTTGTATTCCGTATTAACATAAATGTAAACTTGAAGGCAAGACCTTGGTTGCATGAACAGGTCCAAAACAATAGTATGAGTAAAGCAAAAAGCTCATGTGAGACCTGAGGTTAGCAGGCTGTATTTAACAGGTGCCTAATTTTTGGGTTATGCTGCCTTAATATAACACAGTCAGCTTGGCAGTTGCTAAATTTTTGGGCCCATATAAAGATTTATATATATTATGATTAAAAACTCAGCAAACTAAATAGAAAAGGTAGGGTAATTTGGTGATTACCCATCCCATATTGCCCATTATCTATTACAGAAGCAGTGATCTACCTCTGCCAATAAACCCTTTAAAAACTAATGCAGCATAAGACTATCCCATCACTCATACTGGTCAATTCCATGTGGCTAATGAAATCAGATTTTTCTGAACAAAAGCTGAGGGTTTTGTACTTAAAATGACAACACAGCAGCTGAATATTGTCTGCATATGAATGAATACTTGGGGTTATCAGTTTTTGTAAACCAGAACTTTTTTTATCAAGGGATCCATATTTCTTTTGTACTGAAATGTCAAGCTTGTGGTTGAAAGCATTTTTGAACTCAGTAGTTAAGAAAAGTTTATGGTGATTGAAAGGTTGTCATCTTACAAATGGAGTGCTGAGTTTAGCAATATAAAAAGGAATCCAATACTTACTGCTGTCTAGGAATATAAGGGTAATATAAAATATCGGTAATATTTTTTGTGCTGGTTGCCACACTTTAGCAAGCACCAAAAATCAAAACCGTTTAAAAATTACATAGAGAAGAAATCATAAAATCCAATGCTTCTGCATACTGTGTTATGTTACAGTCCAGTTTTGTGTGCTTTACTACACAGTTTGGTTACAGGACTTCTGTGCATTGTAAACATAAACAGCATGGAAAAGGTTAAATACCTGTGTTCAGATTGTAAGATCTAGTCCGGACTTGCTGTGTATATTGTAACGTTAAATGAAAAAGACAAGCCCTTTGTATTATAGTCATGCAGTCTTATGTATGATAAACAGTTGAATAATTTGTCCTCAGACTCTTTACTGTGCTTTTTAAAAAAAATTATTTAAGAGAAAAATGTAAACATAGTAAAATCTTCCTATGCAATTAACCTACTCCAAACCGTGGTCTGGTAGGTATAATTATAGTACAATATGTAAATATCAGATACATTAACATAGACTTAAAAAAAATTATGAAAGTAAAAATTGGAGGTATAACAGATAATTTTGAGTTTTTAATTGAAACAGTAAGAGATACAATCATTGATGTATAAGCACTCACGTTTCTGCTTGATTCTGGTTTATTATTCTTTCAGTATTGTCTTAGATTCAGAGTTGTTTATGTTCTTATCTGCTAGGTTTAGACTATTCCGGATATCTTCTCACATGCACTACTGAGTTCCTATTACTGTAGACTACATGATTTTAAAGCTCAGAAGTGAGTATTATAATCTCATATGACCTCCTTCACAATAGAATCCATAGAATTCTATCCATTAAGTTCTGCATCATAAAGTCTGTATTTTAAAGTTGAGTTAAAATGCAACTTTAGAAGTACTTCCATGATTTAGAGGCCTTAAGTGAATTCTCCATCATGGTTCCTGGTAAGCTATTCCAGTAGTTCATTATCTATGTTGCTAAGCATTCTTCATCTTGCTGCCAGTTTAAATTTGTTTAGCTTCAACACCCAACCACTGGATATGCTATTATCTGCTAAAATAGAGAGACCTATAGTTTCAGAGATCTTCTTCCCCATAGTCAGAAGGTGATCAAGTTGCCTTTAACCTTCCCTTTAATACAGATGGAGCCTTTTAAGTCTCTGAATGTAACGGTTCTTTCCAGATCTTGGATTTTTTTGGTGTCTCCTTCCTTGATGTGGCTTCAATTTTTAAAGGGTAGGCACCAGAATTGGACACAGTATTCCACAAATTATCTTATTAATACACACGCAGAGGTAGTATTACCTGTATACTTGTTATGCCTATTTCTGTTTATACCACCAAGGTCTGTATTTTTAGGCCCCTTAGTGCCATCATTTTCCTTAGATGCTTCTAGTTAGTTGGTTATTCACCATGGTGCTAAATCCTTTTTAAAATTGCTGTTTCCAGGTACAGTTCCTCATCTTGTACGTATGACCTTACATTCTGTTTGAGTGTATGACTTCCCATTTGGCTTTATTAAAATGCAGGAAGTCTGAAGGTGCCTGGTGCAGAAAGAGATCCAGATGGATCTATGTAAGTGCTCAGTCCTCATTATCACTCTACCAGTTTTGCTGCTTCTGCAACCTTTGCCAGAAGTGATTTTGTAATTGTTTCAGTTAACAGATGAAAATAGTGAACCAGCTTTGAGGTGAAAACCATTAGGCATGAGAAATGCCCTTACTTGTTTGATTTATTTCACTAAATATTATTATAGTCTGAGATAAATTGATTAGCCAGTGTTCAATCAATTTAATATGTGCTGTTTTAATTTTGTTTTGCTTGTTTAGTGTCATTCATGCGTGTGTCGTAGGGGGGTGTACAAGGAGGCATCTCCATCCCTCTGTCGGTTGTGATTTTATGTGGTGCTGTTATTTTAATCAGAATGTCATGCAGCACTTAAAGATAGTATGAAAATATCTATCTTCAAAATAACCCAATATTCAAAATAATGTATAAGATTAGTATTGCCAGTTTCCTGTATGTTATTCATAACAGTGTAGCCAGATGTAACCAGAATAGTGGCACATTAAAATATTAGAACTCCACAGTATCTTATGGTTCCCAAGCAAGTAGATGTATACATGTTTTTTCTCAAGTATGACTTGGTCTAGATAGACCTCTATTTGCTTGCATCTGAGTGATGCTTAGAAATTGGGATTATTGTTGTTTTCACTGTGATTTTTAAATTGTTTAGGGCATGTTTTATTCCCATAACATTTTTCAAAGATAGTTATGTCAAATAAGTAGGCTCCCTCTTCGCCTGAAATGATACGTGACTACTGGAACTAATTATATTCTACATCATTATGAAACAGGAAAAACGATCAACACCATACAGCAGTGATTCTTAACTGGGGTGCTGCAGCATCCTGGGCTGTTGTGTGAGCCTTTTAAGGGTGCCACAGGGTGTATGAGGAGGTAAATGCTTGCTACTTCCCCTTCCACCATACCCAGTCCCTGCGTGAGGAGGTAAGTGCACACTCATCCTTGAACCTAGCCCCTATGTGAGGAGTAAATACTTTTTTGAAATGGGGTCCCACTAAGTACGGAAAAAATTATGGAGGGTTGCCTGGAGTCTAAAGGTTTAAAAACAATTCCGTACAGGACACAAGTATGGTATCTGCCCTGAAGAGCTGAATGGTGTGATATGTAAGGTAGCCCAGACAAAATTGTTACTTTAAAACAGGGGTGGGCAAATACGGCCTGCGGGCTGGATCTGGCCCGTGAGGCCTTTCTATCCAACCCATGGGGCCCCTAAAAATGTAGAAAACTAATATTTCCCTGCCCTTGGTTCCTGTCAAAAATGACTACAATTACTACATTACTCTTTAGGTGCACTACATGACCTATACATGTGCTGGATATCTGTTCCAACGTGTGCTAATTAGCACACGGAGCAGACTTCATTAATTGAGTCTGCAGGAGCGTGCTAATTAACACACTCCAGCAGCCCCTGTGCTGTGTATTCAGAGTCCCCCCCCCACCCCCCACTCCAAAATGGTGGAGGGAGTGCTTTAATTAAAGCTTGTTCAACGAGCTTGCGTTAAAATGCCCCTGCCACCATTTTGAAGTGTGAGACGCTGAATACATGTGACACTGCCGGTGCCTTAATTACAGCGGGTCTCAGCTGCTCCAGTTGAAGTGCACCCCCTCCATCCCAGAACACATGTGAAGACACCCATAAAGGTTAGTGTTCAGTTGGGGTGACACCAGACATAAGCAATGCAGCCCTGTAGAGCCGTGTGATTTTTATGAGACTAACTAAAGGTCAAGTGTAAGAGAACAAATAGGGACACAGGGCAGAGCCTCTCTGAGACACCAAGAGAAAGGGAGAAGAAACTGCCACACCAAGTCATCAAAAGTTACAGAAATGCAAAAGCAAAAGTGAAATGAGAGGGGAGTGTATAAAGATGAGAAAATAATGAATAGTTAAGACAGAATTTGTAGAAGTAGTTGATTATGAAGAGGTAGCTGAAAAAGTTTTGAAACTTGCAGTGAACTAGAGAGGACAGAAAATTGATTAATTTACGTGTATGGCTTTATGGCTGTGTCCTGAAACAGGTTAAGTTGCAGGCTGTAGATCAGGGTTTCAGTCGACATCCTGGACTTTTTGTGGATCATAAATAATTTCTTCTTTGATGAAAATGAAAGAAATAGTAACACATTTGTAAAGAATCCTTACTACATCATTGCAAGGGATATCAGAATAGAAGGCAGCTGAGTTCTAATAGAAAACAAAATGTGTAAGGAAAAACTGCAAACAGCCCTAATGTTACTGTATTTTCTAGTCTAGGCAGCCAGAATGCACCAGGTAAAGTTATAATTGGAAAATAAGGGCTGTTGACCAGACAATGAGAAGTGCTGTTGTTTGCTCAATACAGTTAAATCCTTTCAGAAGGAAGTACTTTGTGTATTGATGTGAACAGAAAATGTCAGCTCTCTTAACAAAATTCTAGAAATCCTACAAGTAAGACTGCATGCTGGGAAGTCAATCTATTGTGAATTTCAGAACAGTTGGTTCCTGGAGATTAAACTGTATGCCTCAGATTGAGAGACAATGGGGTATGATATTGCTCTAAGTAAACGATGACAATTCTAGGACATACTTTGTTCAGTTCTTTGGAATTTTGTCTAGTTTCTAGAAATTAAAGAGTAGAGGAAGGTAACTACTGCCTTTCCTAAGAGTTGGAAAACCAAGCTGAAATTTCTCGAAAAATCATCCAACTCTGAATCTTTTCTCTGGAATTTATATTTCTCAAGTCTAGGTAGAATCCTTCCTCAACAGGAACATTTCATGGCAGTCCTTCTTCTTGTAAGTGAGCCATTTCAGAAAAAAATGTGCTTCAGATAAACAAGGGAGGATATTGAATAGAACTTCCTTGTTGTTCCATGGACAAGTTTATCATTTCCCCAAAGCAAATTAAAATACCTGAACACTATCATCAGCACCCTTGTTGATATTGGAGGATGATGAGTGCAGCAGGCCATCTCCTTCACATTGGACTGGTACAATTAGTGTGATGCATTTTAGAAAGGGCACAGGTTTGTATGAAGAGAAACCAAGTGATCTCAAGAAGCATTTTTATTCTAGAGCAAGGGGTGCTAACCTATGGCTTGTGGGCTGGATCTGACTCATGAAGGTCTTGTCTGGCACTGGGGAGCAGTGGCACAGAACTGTTCTCTGCCACCCATCCCCTCCACAGTGCTTCTTTTTGCTGTGGAGCCTGGTGGTCCACTGTGCCTGCACTTAAGACATGCACCCTAATTTTAGAAGACTAATTTGCAAGGGAAGTGTATGTGGTATGCAAGTAAATATGGTAGTTGGAAAGGAGAGTGCTCCTCTAAGAAATTCCTAAATTTCATGTGGAGGTTCTACTGCAAAAGTTTTGCATTGAATACCCCTTTTATACATGGTTACCTTTCTCAGTTTTAGCAACTCTTACTTTGGAGTGTTCTTTCTGAGGGTTGGTCCTATCCCAAGTTTATATTGACAATCTGGCTAATTTACCATAGAGCTGGGAATACACCACTGTGAAGACTGGTACAGTGTCTTTGTATGAAAATTCACAGGCAAGACAGAATTTTCAATCTCTAGTTTTAGATTGTTTGTTTGGAAACTTAAGATGAAAAAAGAAATGTTCTGACTAAAACTGGAATGGTTTGTCCTGCTGTCATTCTCTCATTTTCTAGGTTTGTGAGCCTTTAAAATCCTGTATTCACAATGTAGCTTTGCAGGGAGTTTCTTCTTCAAAAAGAGTTCTTCTCAGTTATATTTTGAAATTTGGATCAGTTTAGTGTGGAGCTTGTTCATCATATGCTGCTAGAATTTGT